GTCTTTCTTGTGGTTTAGTCTTTCTTGTGGTTATCGTTCCCTCAGATCGTACCTTCTTTGGTTGTGCAGCAGCTAGAGTCACCAGAACCCCAAAAAGGGAGAGTTGCACCACTCCTGTCCTCATGATGGACCACAGTCAAACAGAAGCAGCTGTCTTCTGAACTCCAACAGACTCAAAATGCACAGTACACACTTTATTTGAAAACATTTTAAAGAACATTTTCCCTTAGTCTCCTCCCTCCTGATCCTCTTTGAAATGATAAAAAAAAAACAGTCACATGGATAAATCCACCCACCAAATCAGTTCCACCTTCTCCCTCCCCCAAAGTAAAATCCAATAGTAAATGGGTTGTGTGGGTGTAATCTATGCTGTCGAAAAAGTAAGGCAATTGTCTGAAAATTTACCTTGGATGACTGGGCTTCGATCTTCATTTGTTTGTGTTCTGATTTCTTTGTTACGGTTTAGGAAGGTCTTGTCATTTAGTCCTTTATTACAGGCACTTGTCTTATTCTGTTCATTTATTTTTGCTCACTATTGTAATTAGGGTCTTGCCTTAAGTTTATTTCTTTGTTTGGCTTTCTATTTATTCCCTCTGTGCATTTTGGATCTTCCCCTTATGTTACTGTCAGGGATTTTCACATTTTGTTTTGTAGATACTTTTGTGTCTAGCTCGGCTCTGTCTATGTTACTTATTTACCTTCCCTCGGTCTCAATATTTGCTTCAATATACAACTGTTTGACATTCTCTCAGTTAATCTCACTATTTGAATACAAATGTGCATTTTCTGCAAATGTACAGTATTTTTTTGGTTTACTTTCTGCTGATGTTGAAAAAATACAATTTTGCATCTGCAATGTCTCCATTAAAGAAATTAACTTAAAATCATATGTGAAAAACCTTGTTCACGCAATAAATCATAAAAAATAATCACAGCGACAGATGTAAACAGTTACATAAAATATATGTAACTGTTGCCATGGCGCTAGCATTCATCATCTATCAGCCATCAGAGAAGACGCTGGCGTCTTATTCAGGCGTTGGAGTTAAAAGCCTCTTATACCTGGGAGCGGCAGTGAATGCACCATTTGGGAGATTCTGTAGTCGGTGATTTTCCACACGAGTTATGGATTCAAAATGTTCAAATAACACACAAGTTTTTTATGAACTGTGTGATGCAATAACATTGCTCATTATCCAAAAAAACAACATCATCTACTTCCTGTCAACTTCTTTGTCGTTTTCGCCAGTAGTAACATTCTGCTGTTGATCGTGTGACTTGTGTGATGCAAAAAGGTTTTTCCATTGCAGTTTTGTGAAATATTTTGATTAGGCCCAAAATCCACCTCAGCCTAATCCTTTGTCTAGAACTATTTTTTATATTATCAGCATTTATCAAACAACAACCAACCGTAAGGTTATTTTTTGACATCTCAGCAATTATTTACCTTAATAGATTGTCTCGGTTTAGTATTGTTAGTCTTTTAAGGATCCATTTATTAGTAAAGTCTTTAGAGTCTTAAAGACTTATATCATTATGTTATAATTTACCAATAAGTAATCTTTCAGAATATTAACACTATTTATTATTTTTTATGTATGTTTTGTTTTGTAGTGCATGCGGACATGAGATATGACCTTTCACCTACTTTGCACTGTTTTTTTTATTACCCCAAAAATTCAGGACTCTTGGACATTTTGCTCCTTCCATAAGTCATTCAAATATCAGTCTTTATTGCCCTGAAGTGATTCAATGAGAAGCTCTTTTGTTTTAGCCAATGTGTCCTTTAGATATGAATAATCATATTTTTTATAGTGTAGCAGCTCATAAGAGCAGAATTCGATTAAGTCAGCATGACCTACTACTATTGATTTTTTCTAACTGTGCAACTGTCAAAAGGATGTGCAATTAATTTCTGTAATCCGTTTTTTAACAAAATCAAAATCTGTTTGAAAGTTAACATAAAGAAAACACACCGACACAAAGAAGGTTAACGTGTAAGACACTGAAATGCAAAGGAGGGCAAGATTCATTGATTCTGTTTTTTATTGGTAGTCTAATGCACACATACAGCCATATTCTTACTAAAGTCCATCTGTGATTGGCTCATCAGGCTGGGTGACATTTTTCTCTCCAGGAAGCTGCAACCTCAGGGAGCGCAGCTGAGCTCTTAAACTCAGAAGCGAGTAAAAGACCCAGAAATGAACCAATGAAGATGTTCTCCTCATCCAATCAGTGAATCAACCATACTGAACACAACCAGTTCAGTACGGTTTTGTTTGTATATTTGTACTCTAGATGTTTTGTGGTCTAGCTTTTGTTCCTGCCAACCTTTGACTTGTTTCTCTCCGATGCCTCGATGTGCTCAGCATCACTCAAGGATATGGGGGTAGGGTTAGGGGTACCCTAACCCTACTGTCCAGTTTGATTCTGATGCTTTCAAAAATGGGAAACCATTTAATGACTGGAGCCATAAAACCTAATGAATGCTTTCCCTTATTCACAGAACAGCGTTCAGGTCAGACAACATCTGTGTTTAGATTCTCTGTCAGCTGAGCAGACCACTGGACTGTCAGAACCATGAGTTCTGACAGTCCAGTGGTTAAACTAATAAATACTTTCCCTTGTCCAAAGAATGGGATTCAGGTCAGACAACATCTGTGTTTAGACTGCGTCAGCTGAGTAAACCACTGAACTGTAGGAATAACGGGTTAAAAAAAACGTGACACATACAAGTTCTAGATCAAAGTAGTTTTGATTCTTATGTCAAGGCAGCTTTTTGAGGACATAACAAAGTTTTCCTTTTACTATCCCTCCTGAACTGTCCTTATTCTTCCAAACTTGGGGTATGTTTGCCTTAGACATTATGCCTCAACATTATGCTGAGAAACTTCTGCCTCTAAACTTTATGGAGACCTTAAGTTATTGATTAAAGCTCACCCTGTCATAAGCTTAATTAATATTATTTATGTTCATCTCTAGCCATAAAATATTTGCTCAAGTAGTGTTTTTGTTGTATTTTGTTCATCATTTCTCTCTTTCAGTAACGGCTGAAAACTAAACCATGATGCGATTTCGAAAAAATATGATCCTTAACTATTCATTCGACTGCAAATGAATCCTATTTTTGATCATTACAAAACATGTATTTGAAATATGTGATAAGATAACCTCCTAACAAAGAAATCCTCTTTCAGACTAATTGTTAATTGTAATTTGTTCTGTGCACTTTATCATGGTCAATTTAACCTACCTTGACTTGTTTTTGTTTTGTTGATCAATTTGTAACTTGTACTTTTTCTGAATTATTTATCATGACTTCCAGTTAAACACGGGAAACAAGAAAATCAGTCAAAGGTCTTTGCAATACAAAGTCAGCGGGAAGAAGCCAACAGTCGATTTCTGCAGGTCTCCTAATCCTGAGGTCAACGACTCTGGAAATAAAAAAAGAAGAAAAAAATATTTAAACTGCTGTATTTTTCTCTTGTAAAAATGTGATAATCAAAAGGTGAAAAGTACCACTGAGCATCAGTCTCTCGGTTTGCTATCGTCACTTTTGTGTGGGCATCTTGATGAATCTCTTCATACTACACATGATTTAAAGCTGTACACAAAATCCAACAAGAAAACCTTTACAAAACAATACATCCCCAGCAAACAGTGTGCACTGAATAAATGTTACTTAAGCAAATGCAAAAAAAAAAGAAGCTTAAATTAAGGCAAATAGGTGAACAAAAACAAAAAATGTCGCTCACCTAAAGTCCTTCAGTGACTCCAACAGATGGCCAAAACAGGCCAGAGGAATTTCCTCATACGTATCTCATGGACTAAGATGACCAAACTCATGTCGCCATCTGTATTCACTCAGCCTCCTCCCTACATTTGTTTTATATAACAAAGAATAGTTTCTGTCTGTCAGAGAGTGCTGCTTTGACCTGCGGACTGCGTAACTCAATGCATTTTCTCCTGGCCGGCAAACAAGTAATAAATCTAAATAGACTAATTCTCTTGCCTTGGTGATTCTTTTAGGCGATAAATTTTTCTAACAGTCTTGCAAGAAAGCCGTGTGTTTGAGAAGTTGGCTTAACCGTGTGTGCCTTTGTCTAGCTCACACACATAACATTATCTGGGCTGTATGTTTAAAATGATTCAAATCGTACAAACTTTGAAACAGCAGGAAATTCTATGAATAAATATTAGTGAACAGGCATTCCTAACTGATTTAACACTTAAAAACCTTTGTTGGATTTAGTTTCAGTCATAGAGGTGAAAAAAGGTTATTTTTGCTCAAATCAATCTGTTTAAGGTTTGATTTGAGCATTTGGCGTTTTTCCGCACTCACAATCTGAACATAGAGATTCTTGGGATTTTGAATTCAATTTCTTTTGATTCGTTCATACGGTTGGCGATACGGCTTGTGATGGTGGTGACAGCAAATCGGTGGGTCACAGTGTTGTTGATGTGAAAGCTGTAAATGTCCCAGTCATCCTGTGCAAACACAGATTTTGAAACAAGGTGAGACGATGACCCCAGCAGGCTGGCCAAAGATCAGGAAAACATTGTGTGGGATGGTGAAATCTCACTGGTGTGCCTGCAGAAACACCTATTATTTGTCCTTTATTTCACATTTTCAATGTTGATTTTCACAATTTGAAAATTTTAAGCTTAAATTGGAATTGGTCATCTTTAAAATTTTGAGAGAAGTGAAGATTGAGAGAAAAATAACTCTCTCAATGGGCACATGATTAATTCATCCCTCTGTTGCTATAGATAATTTATCAAGCAGGGAGTGAGCAGAGCTATTTACTAAATCACACTCTAATTAGTTGTCAACAATTAAAAACAACACGACTATCGTACACATTTATTTTTTATTAGATATTCCCTTTCAAGTTTCCACTTCAATTTCCCTTTTACATTTATTTTTAGCATGAAGAAGAAGACTTTAACTTCATGAGAAATTAGATCCTCGGACAGTTCATGCACTAAAAATATCAAAGATAAATTTAAAACATCCGATAGATTGGAGAGTGCGAGTCACTCAACACGTTTTTGTTGCACTTAGTGTGTTCCGGATGAAGAGAGGATCCTTCATAGTCTTACTAGACAATAAAGATATCTAAATATAGATGTTTATTCTGTTTTCCTGTTGTAAGACTGTACCTTGTTTGGTAGCGATGCAGTCAAAGCCAGCAGAAGCCCAAAGACAGTAAGCAGCACTGTGGCTCGGAGCAGGTTTGATCCTACGAAGCTAAAATATTGTTTTGTGGGCTGTTTTGAGCCCCATTGTCTTGCATCCATTAGAAAAATCAAACACTCCCACACACTAATCCACTCCCTCTACAAGAAAACCGAACTATAGTGTAGCTCAGTGGCAAATATGGCTTTTAGTGTTGACAAGAATGTCCAGCTTTTGCACTTGGTCACAATTTTCTCACATCACTTTTTGCATCAGGAACAAAAACATCATGTTAAGAAAAAACAGATCTTGGAAAAGATATTGTGCTGTCAAGGAAAATTTTATTATTGACTTTTTCAAATATGTACAGCTTTTTTTTTTTAGAGTACTAATTTGACAAGGTTGGCAGGGAGTTGGGACAAGTGGTGACAGCAGGCAAAAGCAATAATACACCTAGATTTAAATGCAAGCATTAAAGAGATTCAAGACACAAGGGTCAGTGTAAAGCACAAAAGAAAGACTGCATAGGAGACCCACCCCCAACAAATAAAAAAATAAACATTCAGGAATCTCTGCTTTGGAGACCAAAAGCTAAGAAATACTGTCATGCTGCTCACCAGGAATTGTGTAATTTATATTAGGGGAAATCATAAACACTGATGAAATTACAATTGAACTATCTAAAGTGTGTCTGGGGTCTGTGTTTAATCAATGTAAGGAACATTAGTTAGTTTCTATCCTCACCAAACCAAAAAGGAAACTGATCGAAGAGCAGACTGAACGGTTTATGCCAAACATTTCAGTGAAAACCGCAGAAAGGGGAAAATATTCTTGAGGTCATAAACCAGAGGACTGAAATTGTGAGCAAAGGTCTGAAGATTAACAAGAAACTAATAAACGTTACTCCTAAGTATTTTTATAACTTACACGTTCAAGCACGGGTGACTTTGAAGAAATCTTAGTCTTCACATTCTTTATTCTGTTTTTCTACTGCCAGCATTTTAAAGACAAATAATAGATCATAAAATATCCACGCAATAATCTCTCCAAGTTCAGGAAGGCAACAGTATGTAAAGCTACAGATTGCAAGAGAAGAGGTATATGATGATGATGATGATGATGATGATTTTTACTTTTAAGTCCTTTTGTCCTCTTTGTAATGTGGTTTTGATACCATCATTCTTCAGTGGGTCACCAGCATTTAGCATTTCAGTAAATTCAAGCAGACTGTGGAGATGTGAAGTTAAAGGTTCAGAGATTTCAGCAAGATATAGCTGGACTCAAATTAACATAAGACATCAGTACTTCAGTAAGCCTTAATTTGATTTGATGGGGGTCACCTTGTGTGAAAGGCAACAACTAGTGGCTTGCTTCTTATCATTCCACCATCTAATCAAATGACGGGCGTTTGTACTTGTCTAGTTAAACATTTGGAGTTTAAAAAGACCCAATGTAAACTCAAGTGATCTCCACGGAAAATATGTATCAAACATGTCAACATTTTTCTCAGTAAATGCATCTCTAATAATCCTTTTACATGGAAAAGTGACAGGAGTTGTCAGCAACAACACAAGTAATCAAAAAATAATAATAATTTTGCTGCATTTCAAACTTCCTGAATGACACAGTGATGGCATTTGCAGCCATAATACAGAAGTGAAAAGAAAATAACTTCACCATAAACCCTCAGCGTCCATTTGCCTCTAGGAAGATTTCTGACTGATTCAAAAAATTGTTGTCCCAAAGCAAAAGAGTACTGAGGAAAAACTGGTAGAGACAGTAAAACCTGCATGTAGGTTTTACTCAGGTTGACTGACATGTAGTGTGAATTTCATGTCAAAATAAATATAAAAAACATGTTTGCTGAGAAAAACATTTTTGTGTTCAAGGTTTATTTTACCTGTTTCCTACCTGCGTCATCAGCTCTCAGGCCAAATGGAGTCCAGCTACCAAAAACCGGACCTAAATCAAACAGAGATGCTTTTGGATGACTTTAAAAAAGGCTGTTCTCGCTGTTGGACTGAGATAATCTCCTCAGTTTGCCTAAAATGCATTCTGTTAATAATCTCAGGCTTGTGACTTTTTCAGGACAGACCAGATTTTTGTGCGGAAGCAGATGAAAATCTCTGGAGTGGTAGATCTGTGGAGGAGTTTAACAAGTTGTCTCCTTTGTCCCACTGTCTTGGTTGAAGTTTGTCCAAGCATTAATGTGAACATTTTGAACGGCCAAGGTGGCACATTGTACTGGATGACGAACACTATAAAAGCTCTTCACTCTCACTGGAATGCTTGAACAAGCACCTACCTTTACTCACATAGTTTTGATACTTTACGTGTCCTAAGTAATGTCGTGTAGACGGTGCTTCTTCATCAGGGTTTTGTTAAGAGTCTTTAGACCTCCGTATCTAGTAGTGGAGGTCTGATTTATACGGAAGAAACCAGGACAGTGGTAATGGGTGCAGGACTTGCTTGTGTTCTGAATCTTTATGAACTCAATTTTAAAAACGTGTCCAGCTGCAGATGTAGGTTTTAGGTGCTGACATTCTCTAACCCTGCTTCTCCCAGTCCGGTTCTTCTTTGCTCTCAATCTACAAAACTAAGCATAACCTTCATCCCCAGCCTATCCTTACATACTGACTACACTAATATGTTCATTTTTATGTTGTTTTTTTTACTTTATATCTTAATTGTAAAGATATGTAGTATTTAAAAAAAAAAAATAAAGGAGCATTTCCATTGAACCTCATTTCATGACAATTTTGCTGATGATGTGATCATTCCTCAAAAAGCAAAATAAAAAAAACAAGTCTAACACACCCAAAATAAAAACGTAGGACCCCGAGGTTTGATCCCACAGTGTCATTTGAACATTATTTCTTGAGACTAAGAGTTGCTTCCTTATTTGGAGAAGACGTGAGGAGTGACCAACTGAATGAGGTCCCACATACGAGCCACCAAAATGAGCGAAAATGAAGTCAGGCGAGGATCTTTGTTTGCTGCCCTTCTATACTGAAAGGAGTGAGTAAGTGTGGCTTGAGTAGATTGAGTACAGATGCTCTAGAAGCCTGCAAGGAAGATATGTGGCTCCACGCTCTACCTTCAATGCTTGGCGAATGCTTTGGTGTCCTGCTGGGAGTGCCGAAGGAGGCGAGATTCGGAAATATTTGGAGATATCGCTCAGATTGCTTCCTTTTGCAACCTTTTTAACAGATACGCAGCAGCGAATGGATTAATCAAGTTTAGTTTCTGCTTTAGATCTAAATGCTTTTCTTTTGAAAACTGAAACTGCAGTTCAAGGCACTCTCACAGGTGTGGCTTGCACCTGAGGATAAAGTTCAAGCTCATTCAAACCTCTTAAGGATATTGCAAGCGCTTGTGCTGGAAGTGTTTCACTGGTGAAGAATGAAACGTGTCTACATACCGAGCTGAGAAAGCAGAGTAAAGCAACAGGTCCTAGTGACCACAAGGTCAAGTCTTCACAGTGATGGCATAATGGTTCCTATTAAGGTGCTGCATTGAAACCCACAGCTGCAGCACCAAACTATGGATTATCCTCTGTTAATTGTACAAACACATAGGCTTTGTACAGACAAAGAAAAATTCATATATACACATGGCAGCTTGTATGTATAAACATATGGGGGGTGAAATGAGCAACACAACTTCTATTTCTAAGTACAAAATGAATGAACAGAGCATCATGTACATTCTGTGAGAATTAATGTGCATCAATAAACACCGGCAGATGTCTGCGCTTCAAGGCTGATCTGGCTAATTTTAGTTCTCCTAACAGTATACTGCATGTAAAATAATATTTACTATAATATTATGAACATGACAGTTGTTGACTGAAATAAAACAACATAAAACTCAAGAGTGGAGATGGATATATATATATATATATACATATTATTAAACACATGCTGGTTAAATATATACACTCTATGCACATTATATTGACTACAGCGGCTGAAATATAAGTTAAGGTTTTGGTAACAGAGTTGGAAGACACAATGCTACCCAGATTAGAGAGTCTTTGCCTTGGGGTCGGTCAGCTGATGAGATGAAGATGAAGTAGGGCTGGAGAGGGTGGAGGGCACAGCAGGAAAGGCAAAGACCCCGGCAGAAACTGGAAAGAAAAACCCAGGCCACTGATTGAAGGACAGAGGGGAGGGTAAAGCCGTGAACGCAGCAGGAGAGTGTAGCTGATACGTGTGAAAGGGTCCGGTCGCGGGGCTGGCCATCACTGCAGGCCCAGGGCTTTCAGGCCAGGATAAGGCGCAAGCCTCTGGACCGGGCGGAGTCCACGGTGATGCCTGAAAAGGTTGGAAAAGGAAATAATAGTAAAAATAATAGAAATTCTCTGTGTTAATTTTGTAAATACATACAAGTTTTTTTTTTTTTTTTTAAACCTACGTTTAAAGCCTGAGGCGGCTGTTCAAGTGTTTGAGGCACAACCTGGGGGCACAGCTGCTGCCCACGGATACTCAGAGAGTCGGTACGAGGTCGGTGGGTCACAATTAGAACCTCCTGGGCCCAGTCGTCCATCAGAACCTGTAGGTCTTCAGGTAGGTTGCTTTCACTGGGGCTCATAGATGTGCCTGTCTTGTTGTTGCTGTTGTTGGCCTGAGCTTGGGCCAGGCCAACAACAGGCTGCTGGGGCGGAGGCGTAGCACTGTGCATCTGCTGTGACTGATTGAAGGCTCCAGATGCTGAAGCCCCAGACCCTGACAACACAGAAATATATTAGATATAGTTATTAGGACGGCTTGATCAATAAAGTCAATCAGATTTTGATTAATGTAGTGCGGTTTTAAGAGGTTTTAATTTGACATACTGCTGCCTCGCTCTTTACCGAGACAGAGCCTTTTGAGTGTTGACCCTGTAAAATAGAAAAAAGATTTAGGTAAACTCAGCAGTTGTCTTACAAATCACATGCGGTGCAAAATAATGGTTTTATATAAGCAAAAGAGAAAATAATACAGTACAAAAGCAAAAAAAAAAAAAAAAAAACATGATAATCAACGAAGACATGCATGTGAGAACCAGAACTATGTCAAAATGCATTTCTAGAGCATAAGCAGGACACAGATAGGAAGCAGCAGAGCCACAGCTCCGGGAATACAAAAAAAAAAAAAAACTTTTCCAGCATGTTTTTCACAGGCCTAAATACAAAGTATAATCAGGTATTGCAAGATGCATAAATTACAGAACTGAATATGTGATGGAAACAAAAGAGAATTGTTGGAAAAAATATTCATACCCCTTAACAATTATTAGATAATTTTGTCTTTACATCCACAAACCTTAATTTATTTCATTTATGTAGCAAATCAACAAAACATGTGAGGTAACTGAAGAAGAAAGTCTTAAAGTCTGGAAAAAAATTTTTTGCTTGCAAATACATTATTATCGGGCTACATGAATCAGTTGTTTTAGTACCATATTTTGCTGCAACTACAACATAAAAAGTCATTTAGGTTATGTTTCTATCTGCTCTGCAAACTGGAGAATAAAATGTTGGCCTTTGAAAAGTATTTCAAGCTCAAACTGACTGGACTGAAAGCATCTTTGAACATCAATTTCTTGCCACTGGTTCTTAAATAGATTTAGTTTTGAAATTTGACAGGCAGTTGTAAAATATGAGTTATCTTTTGAAACAAATTGAAATAATATGGTGATAAATATCATCGAGGAGACAATGTGGCTGACCAGAGCATCTTCTTCTTCATGAGAAAAAAACATAAACCACCTACATTTAAGACTGTGGTTGTAACTTAGGAAAGTGTGAACAACTTTAAGGTGAAGGAATACTTTCCAAAAGTATTGCACATGCAATTTGAATTGTGCAGTAACAATTATTACTAAATTTTGATTATCGAAGCCTTAGATGTCAGAAACAATACAACTGTTCCAAAAATGAGTGACAATAACTGATTATTAGTAATCTCCAAATGATAGTGATAGTTATAAAACATTTCTGAATGTTTTATAAAGTCCTTGATGACATTTGGAGCAACTTTTTTTTTTTTTTAGTCCTAAAAGTTTATCTGACAGGTTTGAATGAACAATGTACTGTATGTCTGTCGAATTAAGACGGGGAGCAAGAAAACTTGTAAATAACGCAAAGCAAAAGCAAATCATACACAGTTCCAGGACAGTTTTGCTAGAAAATAAATAGTGAAATAAAGCTAAATAAAGATAATTTAAAGTAAAATCAAACAGTGAAGTTATGCAGGAAGAAAAGAGATACAAACAGATAGACAAAGACACAGGCCCACTGAGAAATCTAGCTCGTGGTTTGCTACTGGACTTATAGGTCACTCTCTCAGACGGTTGAGGGTAATTAGACCAGCCTGTAGAGGAGCATAACGAAGGGAAGAAGATGACAGGAAAGCATAAATTCTAATATACTTATCACTTTGTAAAAAAAAACACCATCATATTTATATCATTAACATCTTTTTTTGTTTTTTGTTTTTTTTGTGGCTGCATGGTTTGGAGTGTTACCCTGTTCAGGTTGAGCTTGTGTGCCGGCGACGTCTCCCTGCAGTCCAGCATAGATGTTATCGGAGGACATGGAGCCTTTCAGGGAGCAGGGCTGCTGAGTCTGCACCGGCTCTGAGGCCGAGCTGGGAAGGTGGCTGGTACACGACCGAGGCCTGCCGTGGGTCGGGAAGGAAGTTCTGCCTGGAGAACCGTTTAGACTCACCGCTGGCTCACTGGGAGCTGGAGCAGCACCTGGACACACAACCGTAAGAGCAACATTCATCCTTATCTGAAATGAAAGTGTTAACAGTAGCTTAGGTTGTAATGAGTGACTCGCCTGGTTTAGTGGAGTCGCTGCTTTTGGTTTTGACGTGCCTAAACTGCTGAACTAGGGGGCTGAGAAGCTTCCCGGGCTTCAGTCTGTGTTTGCTGGACCTCTTCCTGCGGCTTGTGTGCGGTGCAACATGTAGGAGGCCGAGGCCAGCAGGAGGAACCTTACCAAGTCTGCGGTAGAGCAGCTCCACCTCGCCGCGTTGATGTGCTTGCAGCTCTGAGATTTCCTTCAGATGTCTGAATAAATGGAGGAAGGGATTAAACCATGTGAAAATCACCAAAGGGTATGACTACCAAGTCACCTCACATGAGGAAAAGGAAGATCTTACTTCTCTCTAAGTCTCTGCAGTTCCCTCTTTATGTCCGAGTCCTCCATCTCGGAGTCGTTGTCGCTGCTGGCGTAGGCCGAGCCAGGCAAGCCTCCGTGTCTGCACGGGGAATCGGAGCTCTGCACGCTGCTGCTGCGGCCGGTGCGACGGAGAAAAGCCACTGCTCTTTTCATGAGGTCACTTCCTCTGCGCTCGGAGCGCGCGTACTGGGACGGAGTGGCAGGAGCCAGCTTCGCAGGGCTGCTCTCTGCCCCTGAGTCTGCAGGAAGGAAGGAGACACGGACCGTGACGTCCACAGGGACGGAGTCTGAGGGCCGAACATGAGCTCTTACCCATGGGAGGTGGAGTGTCCAGGTAGAAATCGGGCGGGGCAGAGTAGCGGCTGCAGCGCGTCCTCTGAGTGATGTCGTCTTCTGTGCTCACCACAGAGAAACGTCCGATGGTGGTGGAGGTGGCCAAGGCTTCAGGGGGAACCGGGTCCCCGTTGTATCCACCGGGGTGCGCAGGGGAGGCAGCGCTGCTCCAGCTCCTCTGCTTCACATCTCTTCTGTTGGCCACTTCAGGAGGAACAGACATGATCTGGCAGAACAAAGGAGGAAGGCTTAGGTGACAAAGTATGGCTTTTATATTATCAATTCTGATATCTGTTTGTCTTGAAAAACTTACAAATAAGTAGAGAATGATGAGATTGATTGTTTTCAAATAAATACATGAAGATAATGGAAAATGTGTCACATTTGTCATGTTGTTCACAGGGATATATTCTCTGGGACAAAAACTTAATGACACCTGGTCAAAAACTTTTACATCTATTCATTTGATATTTGTCATCTCTATGTGTAAAATCTGTTGGCATCTGAACACTAGGTTTAAGTGTTTTATTGTTCTTAAAATGGCTCCAGAACAAAAATTAAATATCTGGTCTATTTTTATAAGATAATGAAAGTAACATGTGTGAGCAGGAACATGAACAAAGTAGGAAGTGCTCTCCTTACTTCTCGACTCCAACAAATCTGACCATTTCTCTCACTTAGAGAAAATTATAGTCTCTTTTCATTCTCCATATATATTTTATTAACTATCAGGCAAAAACTACATAACAGAAAAAAACCCATTGTGATTCAGAAAGTCTGTCATCTCAAAATATTCATATCTGAGTATTAGAATCAAACTTTTAAGCATTGTGTGAGCCCTAAAACATGCTGTTTAAATGTGACAATGCAGAGATTCAAACAAACAAATGTTGATAAAAATAACAAGCTAAACTTTGATACCTTAAATCGACCTCTAGTTCCAGAGCAGGACACGGAGTGAGGAACGTGTCTTCTTGACAAAGAAGCTGTAAGGCAGTAAATAAATCACTGAGTACAACAAGCCATCGTGTAAGTTTTACTGAAAAATGAATCATCTTAAAGTTCAGTTCACGTCTTTAGACAGATTAGTTGCTCGCACCACAAACAGCGGAGTCGCTCAGAGTGCTCAGGCTGTCCATTCTCTCAGGAATTTGAGGCTTACGGGAGAGATAGAAGAGAATAAAGCAAGAAAATTTAGATATGGAAGCATTAAACATTTTTGTAACATTAAATAAAATGACTGCACCTCAGCAGTCCAGTTTTTCTCAGCACCGGCTCAGCAACTAAACAGATTCTCCACTTATTTAAATCTCAGAGTGTGTTTCATCGTACTTACGAGTTGTTCTCCTGCCCGGTAGCGTCCCTCCCCAATCGGTCCCGGGGTGCTGTTCCCCGATCCTCCGGTGGCGCTGTCCGGGCCCGGAGGAAACTGGATGTACTCTGTCCCAGACCCCGGTGTCTCTGCCGCGCTGCCTGATGGATACATGGGAGCGTATTCCTGGTAGAGCAGGTTTCTCAGTTTTTCATCCAGAGTTTTAATGGTGCTGTCGACGAAGCCTCCCCGGCCGACCCGTCCCTCGCCGTCAGACTCGCTTGGCCCCGCGCCGTGCTGGGACGGTGCCGGGCTCTGGGGCAGCGAGGACACTTTGGAGCCTCCCACGTTGGAGAAAGGCTGGTGGAGGACGACTGGCTGCTGTGGCAACTCGCTGCGCGCCGCAGGAGCGTAAGAGACAGATGCCGGCTCTTTGGTGGCACCCAGCTCCTGGAGGGGGAGAGGGGTCAGAGGTGACCTGCCCTGGGGAGCGTTCACATCTAAGGACAGGGGTATGACAAGAGGACAGCAGGGCACCTCATCAACAATAGATGCTGTGTGGGTCAAATCGAGGGCCTTCTGAGCTCCATGGATAGGGGAGAGCGATCCAAGAGGAGACCCCTGTGAGTCCTCCACTGGGTAAGAGGCATGGGGCAACGACGGGGGAAACGTTTGAGCCTTGGCTCCATGCAAGCTGGGCTGCAGAGAACTGCCTGCAGGCTCCATTGCAGAAACTGACTGGAGGGTGGGGGGTGCAGACACGGGGGGCGACAGGGTGGCCAGGAGGAGGGGGTCAGTGTTGGATGTTATTGGAGGACTGTAGAAACCATAAATTTCATGAGCGAACCCTCCACTTCCGCCAGACATTGTAGAGGACGACCCCTCTTCTACAAAAAGGACAAAAAAAAGATCAAAATGTGCAAATTAATTTATAAAATGTTGGTAGACTTGTTTTATAATAATGGGGATGTTTCTATTGTGACATGACTTTTCTGTTTTTGATTTAACTTTAGAGAAGCTAATCCTTGTTTGAGTTCAGTCTAAATCTGTAAAATAAGTTTAACCTGTCATACAAACAAATCAAGCCTTGAATGCTATTAACATTAACTTTAATGCATTTTGTTGGGATTTTATGGAATAGACCAACACAATGTAGTGCAGAACAGTAAAGTGGGAGAAAATGTACCTGTGGTTTTCATTTTGTTTGCAGTTAAAAATATGAAAAAGATGGTGTGGATTTAATCCCGATACCCCCAAATGAAAGCCAGAGTACCAAATTTCCTTCTGAAGTTACCTAATTCGTAAATTTAAATTTAAATTTGTTTAATTTAATCTCAGAATATATCCACATGCTCTCTGAAGCTCTCGGAGGTTTATTAGGTTTGTTGTTGGGGAACATTAGTGAAGAAGCAAACATGCTAGACCAAGAAACACAGCAGACAGCTCTGGGATAAAGTTGTTGAAATGATTATAACAGAATTAGGTTGTAAAACAAGATCTGAATATGCAGCAACCTCGTTTTCAAGACAGCATTAGACAGTGGAAAACATATGGCTATCCAGTTAAATTGACAGGTTTGGCTAGGAGAGCATTAATCTGGCAGCCGAGAGACCAATGAAAAAAACAGAAGCCTCTTTTGCTGTTTGTCATAAGCAAGTTAGGCGATGCAGCTGCTCAGAGCTGATGGGAGGATGGCTGGACCTAAACAGAGGCTGCAAAAGACCTGGCTGTAGCCAGCGCTTCCGACTGAAACATGTTATTGTGGTAAAAGTAAATCCAACAGAGAATCTCTGGCAAAATTTAAAAGTGATCTTTACAAATGCTCTTAATTGAATCTGACTAATGTTGGGCTATTTCACAAGAACGGGGGGTCAACAAGTCAGCCAAATGAAAAGATGGATGACGAATGTGCCAAAAGACTTGATCCTGCAGCTGCATTTGCAAATTGATTTACAAAATATTTACTCTGGGGTGCTGAATACAAATACAAATTTTGTCAAAAAGTAAAGTTTCATTTGTTTAATTCAACAAATAACCAACGCCGTGGTCCTTATTTTGTCACCACAGAAAACCGAAGTGTCAATAATCACAACATTTTGTGATTTATTTAGACTACAGTATGGCTCATGTTGAACCAACTCAATTATGCTTCACATTGTGTTGGGCACTCATAAAATCCCAATAAAATAAACTGAATTTACTGGTTGAAATGTGACATGACGTGGAGAACAATTTATTACTTTATGACTGAAGCTTTGACTGAATAATTAACATGTTGGTTAAGATGTACAAATATTGTTTTCATCTTGGGTTTCTAAGCTTCCTCACTGTGCGCACTGGAACCAAGTGAAGTTGTGATAACATCTGCTAGACTACTGACGTCTAGAAGAAGGTAAATACTTCTACACGGCCCTTCTTAAAGGATTTGATTCTGATGCCACAAGGGGGCGCTGTTGTAGCATGTGGCTACCAGGCAGCATGCTGGACCGCAGTCACCTCTGGATGTGGACGGCTTTGCAGTGGCGCTGTCAGCAGGCTGGGTGTTGGCTGAGCTCCCGGGTGACTGCGTCGCTGTCCCCTCAGACGGAGTGTCCTGAGCGCAGGGCGGCGTCTCCTCCACCGGGCAGATGATGAACCATCTCTTTCCGGTGTGAAGAACTGCAGTCCGAAGCAAAAACGGAACAGTAAATACTCACATATGTCTGAGGGAAAACAAAAGGGAATTTTAAGCACATGTGATGTTACCGTTCTGCTGATATACAGGCTGCGGTGCCCCTGACTGCTGACTCTGCAGAAAGATTTACAGACGTGAGTTTTGCCTGATAGATTCATATTTTTGGCGTATTTGTGCAGATCCCGCTCTTACCTCTCCTGCCTCAGACATCTGGCCCTGCAGAGGACTGCCACTCAAAGCTGTGTCTTTTTCATCCCCCATGTCTTCATGCAGCATGTCTTCTGCTTTGTCCACAATGTCTTTCAGCTGGTCAATGAAGATCTCCTTCTCTAGCAGCAGAATAAAGCCGTTCTCCACCTACAAAACATTTAGTTTTAAATATTGAATAGTGTCAAACAGAAAAAAAAAAAAACTAACACATTGGATTATAATTACGTAAGCTGACCATGTAGGTGGCAATTTCCTCCGGAGCGTCTCCGTCCAGGTCAAACTTAAATGTTACCATTTTGTGGTTGTGAGTCTCCAGCTGACATTCAACCATTTTGTCACCGGTGTTGCAAACCTATGAGGTGAACAGATGCACCTTACTTTTAAAGACATTGAATTTTATTAATTTGATGATCTTTACTGTCATCAATCACCATCTGACTCACATTGAGCATGCTCAGTTTGGGTTTGCTGGTCCTCTCTTGCCTGGAACGTGTGCGAGCCGACTTGCGATGATGTTTCCTGGGTTTTGAGTCACCTTTGCTCCCACATGCTAAGCTTTCATAGCCGTCGCTTGTTTCCCGACCCGAGGCTACGTCAGAGTTAACACTAGACAAAGAAATTATGCAGAAATAAAAACCCATCCTCCTGCTTGAGACTAACACATCTCACTAAAACGACTCGACACGCACCTGTCGTAGGTGTAACTGGACAGTGATATTGCTCTGTCACGAAGGACATCCTGAAAAAACAAATAAACACAATTTGCTTCATTAGTTGTAAAATATCAGTCACAACTTGATATACACTAATCAACTGCATCTTTTTGAGCTTTTAATGAGTATTACTTTTAAGTACCGTGCAATAAATACGTTTTTAAAACATAAATTCGGTAGACAAGATTGTTTATGCATTTTCTCAAAACTAAAAAGGGGCAAAATCATAAATACAACGTAGATAAGCATCTCGTAGCAAGTTGGAGAGAAATATACTCAAAGGTCTCGGATAACTTCAGATGCATATTTGGCCACTTCTATTATAAGAAATAATAATAAAGCTCATTTAATTGGCCGATTTTTTTGTGCAGACTGCCAAAATTAATAGGACCTCACATAATTCTCATGTTTTTATGTGAAAACATTTTCAGACTTAGCTTTCTAGCATTCTTACTCATTTACAGTAGCTTTAAAATATTACATACTAAAGTTTATTAGGAATTATTGTTAGAATATCAATAGGAAGGAAGGAAGGAAGGAAGGAAGGAAGGAAGGAAGGAAGGAAGGAAGGAAGGAAGGAAGGAAGGAAGGAATCCTACCTCTGTGCAGGCCTCCTGCTGGAAGCTCCCAGGGACGGATGTTGCCTCCACGCTGTGCTGAGCCAGGCCGGCGGACTCGGACACTGGGACTGTTGTGTGGACGCCAGCGGGCTGCAGAACTGAAACTCCAGCAGGAGCCGCAGCCTGACTCGGCGCTGACAGACTGACAGGAGCTGAGTCTGAGATCAAACCCGGGGTGGAGGTCTGCGTTGCAGCTGAGCTCACAGAGGAGACCATTGTGAGCTCGACAGTAAAAGTCGATGCAGATATTGGTGCCTGAAGTTGGGCTGAGGTCACAGGCTGCAGTGGTTTTTGAGCTTGCGTTGGAGTCTGAGGTGCTGCTGCAGCCTGAGCTGACCCTGGAGCTGGAGGAGGAGTTTGCACCGGGGCTTTGGCTTCAAACTGAATCGTAGTCGAGACGGAAACTGAGGCTGGAGCGGGGACTGGAGACGCTGCAGCTGCAGGAGAGTCTGTGTCCATTCTGCTTCCCCATATCGGAGTGTGTCCAGTGGGTAAGACAGGGTGAGCTGTTTCCAAATGCTGAACATCTATCAGAGTCCCATGGGGAGCAGCCACCTGAGAAATAAACGGAAAAAAAATAAAAACATCACATTTATGGGAACGAGCAACAATTTAATTTACTTTCTTCTGAATCTCCGAAGGCATGCCCTGCATGCATTATGACCAACAATACAGACACCACCTCAGATTTGTCAAGACCGAGCCATTACAGTGAGAACGGAGTCAAATATTCACCTGGACAGGCTGGTCAGCCAGTTCCTGCTCAGGGTGGGGGACAGGGAATGGGGTGGGTTGTACCTGGGAGAAAGGTAAGGGATGGGTGGAATGGAGGCTACTGGTGTGCTGCTGAGATGTGTGTGGGCCAACCTGCTGCTGGGGCACCACAGGGGATTTGACTATTCCCAGGTGAGGGAAAGAGAGAGGCAAACTGGGGACATTTTGAGGCGTGGACATGGGAGTCTGAGGAGTCCCAAGAGAAGAAATAGATGTCAGAGCTGTGTGGGGGCTGAGCGGGAGGGAGGGGAGGAGAGGTGAAGGTGAGTAGTAAGAGGTAGACATAGCAGCGTCGCTGCTGCTGAAGGTGGACGGCAGGGAAGCCGGGGAAAAGGGAGCGGGCATGTGAACGACAGGATATGGGGAGGGAAACTGGGAAAGAAAAAGGGAAAACGAAATAAAATGAACAAAGACAGCGAGTCGGTACATTTAACATTCACACACAGGTCGTTTGGGTTTTTAATGATCAATGTGTTTTTTGTTGTTTTTTTTCTTTGTGGTTTTTTTATGTCTCCATCGCAACAGCACTCTACCGCAACACACCTGTGTGCTGATGGGCAGGGGCAGCAGAGGGGGAGGAGCGCTGCAGAGCGGAAACCTGCCAGCGGAATCAGGAGGACTCAGATGTGACGACGGCTGGTCAGCAGAAAACAACTAAGGAAACAAATTAAATATCGATGTCTTTTTATTTAACAAAAAATCATTTTTGAATTAGAAATTCAGACTTATTTTTAAAAGTATTAGTGTTTGTTGGCAAGACGATGCTTTTCTCGTTTAGGACATTTTGTGGGAATCAGCATGATTTACTTGTCACAAATGCATTCAAGTTAAAACAATGCAGTTGTTTAATCATAAAGTTATGCATTTTTCTGGTTTGAGATGTGTGAACGGCTTAAAATAAAGTATTATTTTAATGCAGTACAAAATTCCTTTAGTTCTTTAAAAAAAGAGCTTCTTAAATCCCTCTCCACCTTCTGCAATGTGTCTGATAAGTTCCAGCCTTTTGCCAGCTTTGCTTGTCACAGTTCCAGTTTATTTTCAAGTTATCTAATTCAAAGTCTTTGCTCTGCTGTCCAGAAGTCTCAAGTTAAACAAGCTAGTTAGATTTCTGAAGAAAACAAATCTGTAAACAAATGGAGATCCAAAATACTAAAATGGTCTCACATGTTTGCATCATCAGCATTTTTTAAGTCAATAATTTTCTATTTTCTAGATTTTGTCAGTCTGCTTCTTTGCAACAAGAACGGCATCTGAGTCACGCTTTCTTTTGAAAATGGTTGCTATATTTAGACAAGGTTAATAAATGCGTCAGCCTTTAAGCAGAAATTACTGAATGTCTTTGCTTCTGAAATTAAATTCTGAAATTAAATCAAATAAGATTTATAAAATATGTATTATACCCTGAAACCTTTTTAAATAGTCCATCTGCATCAGTTGCCTGTGCTGGAGGGACAAATGCGTCTCAAATCTGTTCATGGATTGACGGCAGAGGGCCACCTGCTGCACTTTGGATACTCATGATTTAATTACTGTTCAGACAGTAGAGTTATACAGTTATATATATTTTTAAGGAGTTTTATCTGCTGTTTTTAACCACAAGCTATTAGGTCCGAAGCTCTGAACCAGGTGAGCTTCTGGGGAAGCTAATTTTAAAACTGTTACCCTGTGTGTTTTGCAGTGTGCAAGTCTACCTGAGACGGGACGGCAGCTGGTTGGAGATGACACTACAGGGAGAGGAGACAAATGGGAGACAAGCACAGACCACATAAATAGAGTTTTTCGTACAAACGGGTGCACACGGAGTACATGCCCAGCAATAAAGAGCTGCGCAGCGAAAGGGAAAACACTTTTTTTTTATATATATTTTTATCCATGCTACGCAGCGCACTATTTAAAGCAAAAACCTCGGGTGCTATTTATTTTGTTAATAAGGGCAAAATTCAATGAATAGGTTATTGTTAGGTAGTCACAGAGGCAAACACGTGTACAGAGAACACATGTTGATCACAGACTGAAAGGAGCTTAAAAAGATCATCTGATGTCCAGACTCCTCTGTTCCAGATCTGATGTTATCCCTGCAAATTACAATGTTAAAGGAATGAATCGCATTCTAGGACACTGCCAAATGTTCTTCACGGATCCCGTTGACTGATTGGAGCGGTTCTGGAGGCGCAGACAGGATGTCCCCAATACTGGGTGAGTTGTAACATTAGTATATCTGACATTGCTTCTATTGGACGGCCTATTTTTCTTTCTCTCTCTCTCTCTCTCTCTCTCTTCCTGTGAGTTCAGAGGTCATTCAGAGCTTGCAGTACCTGCGCCTGGGTGGACTGGACAGTAAGATGCGTTTGCAGAGTCGGGGCTGCGGCTGGGAAACTCTGGGACGTCTGTCTGCTCTGCTGCACAGGGGGCACTGGAGTAGCTGGAGCAGAAACCGTCTGTCACAAATACAATCAAGAGACCACATTTAATTAAACTTGGTTCAGACATTTGATTTGATTTTTTATTTTTTTTTTTATCTTGTTCTGCACATTCCTAAAGAGATTTAGCGCGTTTGAGCAGCAGCTGTCCATGGCATGAAACTAAGGGAGATTTTTAGGAGATGGACAGGTTGCATGTTTGTCATGGGAAGTTACAACAATGGTTAACTTCCCATTGTTGGGAAGTTAACCACTGCGAACCAAGGAACTGAGTTTATGCTGTGAATTAAGCAGAAGCAGAAAACTGGTTGTTAAAAGGACCAAAGCTGCTGGTGGAATCAGGAGGGATACTGACCAGTGCAGCTATGTTGCATTCAAACTACATAAAGCCTCCTTCGCTCACATACCATGTGATCTGCTCTGCCTTTGCTGCAAAGTGATGACAGCACCAAGTTCTCATCAAAGTTTGGGATTCGGGAAAGAGGGGCTTCCAGGCTCTGACTTTTCCCTTTATGTTCAGTTACAGAGTAGTCGGAGTCCAAGATGTGGCTCTGCAGTGGGTGATTTACACCTCCTCTTTCAGGGAGGGTGGGAGAGCTGGTTCTGCGACTGACAATGTGATGGAGACAGTAGTTGAGAAGGCGGAGTTCTCCACCTTCGTATAAACCAAGTGGAAACACGACTGATGAGGATGTGGAAAGGTGTGAAGGTGAGGCGGCCTTGCTTGGCTTGCTGTTTGGTGACGGTTCAGCAGGTGAGCCCAAAACATGAGGTGAAGTGGCCTGTGAAGACTTTAGCAAAGGAACAGAGGTAGATGCGTCTAAGTTGGATGTGCTAGAAGTGCGTCTGCGCCACCCGCCTCCTTCCAGCTTGTCCTTAAAGAGGAGAGACATGCAAGCTTTGCACTGATGTCGGCGGTGGTGGCGCTGTGGGCTGCGTGGCATGCTAAGACGGTGTGCCGAGGGAGGTTGTAAAATCAGGGGAGGGTGAGGTGAATTTGAATAACCTGCTGAGTCACGGAGAGAAAGCTGATGCGGAGGCAAGAAAGGAGACGACAATAAAGAGGGATTGTGGGCATCGTTTGAGGATAGGTAGTCTGCAGACTGCAGTGAACTCTGTGAACTGTCAGACGAGGAGAGAGCTTGCAACAGACTTTGGTTCTTTGTCTGAGAGAGGGAGTGCATCCTGCACTGTAACATCTCTACTGTGGGGGCACTGCCACGCCTAAGACACGCTGCGCTTTCAGCGGCGAGCGGAGTCTTGTGACATACAAAAGGATCACTGTAGTGGCGCTGATCAGGAATCCGTTCAGAAAAGAAGATAAAACATTAGGTTTTTGCAAAAAATAAAAATTAAAAATAGAATTTAAAAGGACGTATCATTAAAACACAACAGCAAGTACTCACTGTTTGACACTGAAAAGGCCCCTGGTGCAGTTGTGCCGCAGGCTGCTGGAAGGTCCCAGGATGCAGCTGATCTGCTGCGGGAGGCTGGTAGGCTCCCTGGTGTGGCTGCGTGGTTGGCTGTTTGTTGTTTTCATGTGAGGCCTGTCCTGCAGATTGCTGGTAGCATCCTTGGTGCAGCTGGGAGTCAGCGTGTGAAGGAGGACTGTAGAGCATCTGTGCAGTGGAAACGGGTTCTGGAAGTGACTGGTAGGGACCGTTCTGCCGATTGCTCAGATCGTCTAATTGCACGTTGGCGTTCGCTCCGCTATCAGCTGTGACAACAGAGAGAATGAAACACTATAATTCACCATGAAAAGCCTCGGTAGGAAAAACAGATAGTAATGAAGGGTCGAATGAGGCTGTAATTGGAATTTGAATTAGGGGTCATGGTGTCTGATTGCTTTAATTTCATTTCATCACGGTGCAGTCCTATTTTTCTATCTCTACTTCAGGTTAATTCAAAGGAATTCTGCTTAATTTGAGGCTATTTGAGTTTTCACATCCCTTACAATTATTAGTGCAGTTTGAGACTGTGTAATACGTAGCATTGTTACAAGTTTCCACATCCCTATAACCTTTTTACACATTTACTAATATACTCTCAAACTTCTATATACCTTATTGAGATTTCATGCTGTAGATTATTTGTTTATCTGCGCCAATTGTTGAAAGAAGGCTACAAGAAGTCCCGTTTAAGTTTTCTCACAAGCCGTGTAGGAGACACAGCAGCAAACATATGGAAAATATATCGAAGCTAGCGGTTGTAACAATGTAATAACATATGAACAAGATCCAGAGATAATAAAACCAGTGCCCCTGAGATGTTGCTTTCCATTGAGCTTCTTACATGTGGCAGGTGTGATTACAGGAACAGTGCAGATCAGAGTTTCTTGGTCCTCACAATCTGCAGTGGTGAATATGGTTTCCTCGGGTGGACCAGTACCAGGGACCTGCAGAAGGTTCTGCTGCGTCTTCTTCACTTCACTGTTTCCATTTGGTGAGCCAGTCCTTGCCCTCCTCCATTTTATTAGAGCCACGCGGTCTCTGATGGATTTACCAACTATCTTTACGTCACATTCCAAGAAAAATCCTGACTCCACCTACAAGAAACGGGCAAGACTCTTGTTAAAGGTAAAATGAAATACATAAAAGTCAAAACTGAATACCTTGTATGCTAAACATAAATATGCTTCTGTCATGAGTCATTCAAAATTTGACCTTTCTATATAAATTTTCAAATAAATTATGACTATTTTGGTTCTTTTACCATTTCTTGTGCAACTACTTCTGGAACTTCTTTCTCCAAGTCGAAGGTAAACTCAATAGCACCAGTGTCCTTATATTTTCCCTTTAGCTTTTTAGGATCTTCAACCCACAGCTTTAAAGCAATGGATGATTTTTTTCCATCGTCCTCCTCGTTTAGCTCAACCCTGACTCCTGTGTCTTCGGCAAAATACGCATGGTTCAGGAGGTCCTTGATGGAGTACCTGCAGAAAATACACAAACACTTCTGCACAACAGATCTTTACAGTGGCAACACACGCTCAGATCCAAATACGGGCATTAACGTCACGCCGCCAGAGCAGAAACAAAATACAACACGGACACAGAGGTCCAGCTGAGGAATGTGTTTCAGACCAACTCAGACGTCTTTGGCAACTTACCGCTCCTCCCATCTGTGGCAGATACACTCCCCAATAATTTCCTTAATTTCTGGGTCACTGACTTTGCCGTAGCTGGCAGGCTTCACTCCCTGAAAAACAAACCAGCATGTCCCAACTCACTATGAAACAAGTTCTCATCCGGAGCAATTACTATATATCATGACTAGCAGCAATTCGATTAAGCAGTGCCAAAAAGCATTAATTTCCCTCAATAACACATCTTCCCCTCGATGTCCACAGATTAGGGATTACAGAGATATAGTGCAGGAGGTAAAAGAAGATCTGCTTGCAAGTGGAGACTGGATGTCAATCTGAATGAGGCTTAAGGGGCTTACTTGCTTCGGTTTGATGAAAATTGAGGGTTAATAGTTTAAGTTTAGAAATTACGGGCCCCTAGAAATGTGACTTTTGTAAGTGATTGTCATCATGACATTGATAAGTGGGAATTATAACAAACATGATGTTCGTGAAATCTGCAAGATATTGATACGTATATATTGATACATCATTAAGATCAACGTGAGCCTGACAATCCATGTAGAAGTATTTATAAAACTAATCATCTTGCTCAGCTAGTTTTGAATTTAATTTAAGAAATTGATGAATTCTTGGGTTTTCTCATCTAAGCCTTTAATTAGACTCCTGTCCTCAGCCTGTGGTATGCTGTCAGTAGAACTGTCTGTCTTTGAAAACTTAAAAAGTGCGGTGGGGAAAAATACTAGATTGCACTTTGGCCACGGGTGTGCAACGTGCCACGAACACAGTTTTGTTAAACTCCTTTGTGGTTTGCACCTGATTTCTGAGAGCTCTCAATGCTGACTGAGAAAAAATGAGTAAGAAAGACCGATTGTCAGAGAGAAACACAGAGCCATCAAAGAAGTTCTGTCTCAGCAGATTCTATTGCTGGCCTGATCCATCTGCAGATTCAGCTGGCATTTTTATTATTCACTGTGAGTTTTTAAGGTTTTTCTGGCTCAAAAAGCTACGATCAAGCTGGGTTACTGTTTACAGTTCAGTTCTGATGAAATCACAGACCTTCAGAGGTCTGGGCCACAAACAGCCTCACTGTGTTGATATATTCCTTGTCCCTATTCATCAGTTTATATATGAGATATAGCTGCCTAATTTTATATTGCCACTAAAAATGCTCCAGTTACATTTCTCACTCCTATATATTAACATAGATTATTGTGACAGTAGAGTAAATGTAATATTTATTGTTGTTATTCTTTGTCTAGTAATAAAAGTTACAAAAACAGTGACAGAGAAATTGTTTCCCATCAAAGCTCACAAATAGCATCTTAAGAGGAATATCCACAGTGCTATTGTATCATGCACAATGACAGTCTATTCAATCTATTTAATTCTGTTCTATCATTAATTTCAAATCGCAAAAAGTAAACGTACGTATCCAGATTGATGTGTTTCCTCATGATAAAAAAACCCACATCTCATGAAAATGAACTTACACTTGTGACTTTGCGGTAGATCTGAGCAGCGTTCTGACACTCAGAGTAAGGATACTCTGAGGTGGCCATCTCCAGCATGCACATCCCAAAAGCATAGACATCCACAGCCTCGTCATAGTGCTCCTCATACATCTCTGGGGCCATAAACTCTGGAGTACCTGGAACATTTACGAAAGAGAGGGCTGTGCATTAAATATTTACACTTTTATTGTGTTATCAGTGTTCAAATGGCAGTTGCAGCAAAGCAAAAATGAAAGATTTTGCTAATGCTGAAGCTTTGGCTTTAAATGGATCTCAACAAAACTCCACGTGTTTGTGAAAACAAGTGACAAGTTAAAAGAAAAATCAGCATGCAGCTTTTTAGTCCTCTGTTGAAATCTGTTTTCATAATAATGCAAATGTTTATAAATGTTTTCATTTACATTAACGTAACTGAGAGAACTGTATTACATTTCATTATTATTAAAAATTTTGAAATTGTGAATATTAGGGACTTTAGCTGCTTCGCAACACAGATAAGGTGTCCTGTCATCTCTTATTTCAGAAGGAAGCATCATCTTCCTGGAAAAGACCCATGAGGATAGGCTTACCTCCTTCCAGGAAGTAATTAGTCTGAACAGCTTTCTGCTGACTTGCAGTGGCTCTTCCATATTTAAGAGGCAATCGGTAGAAAGCATAATAATGACAATAAAACAGTAGAAATGCTCTCCTCTGCGGGTTTTGTCTACATGCAGCATGTATGTACACCTGGTGTGTTATTGGCCTGCTCCACAGGAGAACATCTGCATCCAGCTGGATGGTCACAGCCGACTACATGTCCTGATCCTGAGGTGAATATCTGCACTCAAAAGTGTGACTGGGCAAAATCAATATTTGCAAAAGGAAACACAGGGAGCCACGTCATAAAAAATGACTATATTTAGTTGATTATGTTGACTTTATAAAATTGTAATTATTGATCAATTGCATTTTACTTACTTCTGTATAGATACTATCAGCTAAAAATGACAAAGTATAATTTAGTGATATTTTATTAGTAAGGTCAACAATATTGAATAATCAAAAAATTATATTCAAAGGGAATCCCTTAGTTTTAATTGCCATATCCGCCCCAGGAACTGTGCCACACAAACATATTTAAATCAAGAGTTTTTAATTAAAGCTGACGTTCTTAAGACATATTCATATAAACATATATTATATTAATATTAATTAATATATTAATCATATATTAATATTAATTATATTAATCAATTAATACTTATAATGAATAACAACATTTTATTAATAATATATTCTTAATATATTGTTATTATTATCACTTTGTTCCACTATTTTTTTAAGCAGACAACTGTCACACTTTTCTGAGTATGAGCTAAACCTAATCCAGTTATGGGATGTAGTTTAGACGTCAGTTACTATGAGCTGGTTACCATGGAGACTGAATGCAGGCAGGTGAAATCACAGTGATTTCTTAGGACAGCTCCTCCTGAAGCTTGGACTTTAAAATCCACTATGTTGCTTTTTATATCTTAACATCCAAAGGAAGATGTTACTGAATCAAAATCCGTCTGATAGGAAGGAATTACTTGTTGCAACATCTGGTTGTTTTCTTTTAATTTGTCACCAATCTGGACATGTGAAGAAACTGTTCTTTCAGGGCTGCAGCCCTGGAGCTCCCAAGACAAAATAAATGATGCAAACTGACAGAACAGGATTAAATTGGTAAAATTACTTTAGCCTAACAATTAGCCAGCAACTAACCAATAACACTTTTGGCAAAAGAAGCCCTCTTTAGGGTTGCTAATCCAAGGTCTCCTATTTTGACAGAGCCAGTTGGACCAGTGATGAAAATGTTGTCACACTTGAGGTCTCTGTGGATGATGGGAGGCGTCCTTGTGTGGAGGAAATGGAGACCTTTGAGAATCTGCCGACACCACCTTCTCAGGACTTTGGGCTTCATAACCTTGAAGCGCCTTAAATACCTGCAAGAAGACAAATACACACTCTCAAATGTTCCAACTCATACACATAAAGACATT